GAGGCCCTGATCACATCCCCTCCTTTCTCTTCCTGAATTTGCTATTGCTTATAGTATTGGTCAGTTATTGCTATAAAAATGTCATGTATTGCCTCACAACTCAATGAAAATTTATCTCACGCTCATGGTCCGCAGATTAACTGCTTTGCACTAACCTAGGCTGGGCTCGGTGGGGTGGCTCTGCTTCAGGTTGTGGTTTGGCTGGGTCTGGCTCCAGACTGCAGAATGGATCCAAGTCTGCTCCACGTGTCTCTCATTATGCTTGGATCAGTGTCTACCTGGGGCATAGTCTTCTGGAAGCTCACCAAAGTGTGAGAGCCATGTCAAACAGCACAAGCACATTTCAGGCACTGCTCATGTCATGACTACTAACATTCCACTGGCCAAAGCATGTCATACTCCCAAGCCTAACCTCTATGGGGTGAGAATTACAGTCCTTTCACAGTGGATGGAGGTACAGTGAATATGTTAAACCATAATCCAGACTATCACAAACATGCCTTTGGTTTTCTTCATGGTTTTACCAAATAGCGATATATCTCTGAATAATACATTAGTTGTTTCCTTTTGTTTTTGAAGTTTATATAAATGGATTCAGAGTAGGTATGTTTTCTCTGAGTTACTTTTCTCCTGTCTTCTCCATAGTAGCTCTCTCCCTATTTTATTAGCCAGAATGCTTGGTTGTGAACACAGACACCAATCCTGGCTCACTTAAAGAAAAGGAATTTATTAGAAGGGTGTTGGACGGTTCACAGATTGGGAAGGTTAGAGTATCAGGCTTAGGAAGTGGACAGGACACAGATAAGTAGTTGTCTGGGGCTAGAGATGAAGGGGATATCCCTGTAAATGGGCACAAATAAACTTTTTTGGGTATTAGAAATATTTTGTATCTTGATAGTGATGGTAGTTACACAGGATATACATGTTTATCAAAACTCACCAAACTATACATGTTAAATGGGTATGGTTTATTGAATGTAAATTATACATCAAGTTTAAAAAAAGAACCTGCTTCATTTAATAATAATTTTTAAAAGTCTGTAGTGGCTTTAGTGTGAAGAAAGCAACCATGGGGTTCTCTCTAGACCAGTTTTGTATGATTTGGAGTACATTCCTGGTTTTCCTGTTGATTCTGTGAATTCCCTAATAGTCTTTTTTTTTTTTTAATATAACAGGTTTATTGAGATAATCTCAATAAACAATTCAATGATTTTGAGTATATTTCCACAGTTGTCATCAAAGTCGATTTTAGAACATTTTCATCAACCCAAAAAGAAAGCTTTTAGCAGTCACTCTCCATTTCCCCCCAGTTCTCCATATTAGTTTGCTAGGGCTGCCATAACATAGTACCACAAACTGGGTGGCTTAAAGCAACAGAAATTTATTCTCTCATAGTGGTGGAAGCTGGGAGTCCCAAATCAAGGTGTTGGCGGGACCATGCTCTCTCTGCAGACTCTGTGTCTTTCTTTTAGCTTCTCATGTTGCTGGCAATCCTTGGTGTTCGTTGGCTTGTAGGTGCATCACTCCTAGTTGCTGTCTCTGTTATCACATGACATTCTCCCCTGTTTCATGTTTTCCCATGGCATTCTTTCCTCTGTGTGTCTGTTGCTTTTCTCTTCTTATAAAAACATCAGTCATATTAGATTAAGAATCCACCCTACTGTAGTATGACCTTATCTTAATTTATATCTTAATTATATCTACGAGGACCCTTTTTCCAAGTAAGGTCACATTCACAGGTACCAGTGATTAGGACTTTGACATATCTTTTTGGGGAACACAATTCAACCCTCTCTCATTCCTAGACAACCACTAACTTACTATTTGTATTTACAGATTTACCTATTCCAGACATTTTACATAAGTGTAATCATATAATATATTTTATTATAATATACAATCATATAATATATAGTCTTTTCTGAATAGTTTTTCATAGCATAATGTTTTCATCTATGTTGTAGCATGTTGTATCAGTACTTCATTACTTTTTGTTCCAAATAACAGTCCATGGTATGGATATACCGCATTTTGTTTATTCATTCATTAGTTGCTGGACATTTGGGTTGTTTCCATTTGGCTATTATGAATAGGGCCATGAACATTTATGTACATATTTTTTGTGTATACATATGTTTTAATTTATCTTGGGTATATACCTAGTAGTGAAATTTCTGGCTCACATGGTAATTCTATGTTTAATTTTATGAGGACCTGACAGACTGTTTTCCAAAGGATCTATACCATTTTACGTTCCTACAAACGATGTATGGGGTTTCCAATTTCTCTATATCTTTGCCAACACTTGTTATTATGTCTTTTTAATTATTAGTCATCTTAGTAAGTTTGAAGTAGTATCTCAGTGTGCTTTTGATTTGCATTTGCTTAATGACTAATGATGTTGAGCATCTTTTAATGTGCTTACTCCCACATTCTTTAATAAATTCCTTCCCTTAAATCAGCCAGAATATTTTGTCATGTTTTTGTTGCTTACAACTACAAATCTCTGAAACTTTCCTGAAAGTCTCCTTAAGAGATGTCCGTCTTCTGAGTTGGCTGTGAGACTAAGAAAGGAGTTCTCTAAGGGTCCTTTGAGTTTCCCTCTAAGGTCCCTGAAGATCTCACAAGTACAGGAGTTCCATTTCACAGAAGTCTTCCAAAGTCACTAAGGCTCTCAGGGATGAGAAGCTGTTTCCTAACTCATTCAATCAACTTGCTGACTCTCCCTACCTGTTCCATACCTGGCTCTGTGTCTGGGGTCCTGCCTTCAAGGAGTTCATCACCTGCTACAGAAGACAGATGTGGACATAGTTGGTCACTACTCAAAGTGGTTGGTGCTGCTGCAGAGGAAAATGCAAGGGCTCTCTATCCCTAAAAACAGGAGGCTTCTTAGAGATGTAGATAGCTGAGGTAAGTCCTGGAGGACGAGTGGGAGATAGCTAGGTGAAGTGGCAGGACGCATTGTGGTATTCAAGAAATGTCTCAGACAGAGAGGCAGCTTTTTATTAGTGATAATATAAGTTCAACTGTTATAGCAATGATCTTACAGGACCTAAATAGTTCTTTGTTAAAAAATTTATTTTAATTAGTTTCAAGTATACAGTATATTGGTTAGACACCTATATGGTTCATACATGTTTTTTCTTCTTAAAGAAGTCCCTCCAACATTTCCTGTAATACCGGCTTGGTGGTGATAAATTCCTTTAGCTTATTTTTGTCTGGGAAGCTCTTTATCTGTCTTTCAACTCTAAATGATAGCTTTGCTAGATAAATTATTCTTGGTTGTAGATCCTACAACCAAGAGTGGGTCTTCATCACATCGAATATTTTGTGCCAAGCCCTTCTGTCCTGCATAGTTTCTTTTGAGAAATCAGCTGCGTCTTATGGATGTTCCTTTCTAGGTAACTATCTGCTTTTCTCTTGCTGCTTTTAATATTCTTTCTTTGTATTTAACCTTCGGCATTTTAATTTGATATGTCTTCGTGTGGGCCTCTTTGTATTTCTGTTTTTGGGGGGATTCTCTGAGTTTCCTGGGTTTTTATGCCCATTTCTTTCACCAGGTTAATTTTGAAATTTTCCATTATGATATCTTCAAACAGCTGTTCAACATCTTGTTTTCCTTCAATTATGCCAATCAGATGCATATTTAGATCCTTAATAGTGTCCCATGTGCTTCTTAAATTATTTTTGTAGTTTTGGCATCTTATCTCTTGCCATTCTAATTGAGTGTCCTTGGCTTTCCTGTCCTCTAGATAAGGCATTTTATCCTCTTCTTTATTCACTTTGTTTATTCCATTTAATATACTTCTCATCTCAGATAATGTGTTCTTCATTTCAGACTGGTTCCCTTTTATAATTTCCATTTCCATTTTTATGTTTTTTATCTCTTTATTGAAGTTCTCACTGAATTTATCTCCACTTCCCAAAAGTTCATTGAGCATCTTTATAACCAGTGTATAAACTGTATTATAACTGTATCTGTTAGATTACTTGACTCCATTATATCTGGATCTCTGTTCTGTTCTCTCATGTGATTTCCGCTTTTTTGTCTTCCCATTTTGGCTGCCTTTGTATGTCTGTTTCTATGTACTAAGCAGAGCTCCTAAGTCTCCCGGTCTTATTAGTGTGGATTTGTGAAGTAGGTGTCCAGTGGCACAGTCCTGAGAGGGGTTCAGCTACAGGCCAAATTTAGCCCAAGCCCCTGCTTTTCTGGGGCCACCTGTTAAGATTCAGCAAACAATCCACAGATGCTGTGCTTATAGGTGCCTCACTGTAAACCAAGGCCAGCTGCCTCCAGTGTGAATCTAGGTGCTGCTCAGGAAGGAGCATCTGACTCGCTGAGGCTATACCTGGATGTGGCTTGGGTGGGGCCGTGAGTTGGTGGAGGCGGGGTTTCAAGGAATCCTCTGGGCAGAGTGACCTCTGTTATCTAGTTTGATGACGTCACAGGTATGGCGGCACTGTGTCCATGCACTGGGAGTGGGGAGGGCTCAACAGGGAACAATGGATACCGCCGGTACTTCTGTACAGAGCGAGTCTCGCTTCGGCCCTCACTCCGACAATGTCTCCCTGTAAGTTTCTGGTGCCCCCTGCACACAGCTGAATTGGCACTGGTGCTCAGAGTGAGCAGGTCCATCACCGCAAAAATCTGCTCGCGGACCCAGCCCCTTTAAGAGGAGTCTGCCGCTGCCCCAGCCTCCGTCTCACTCAGCCGCCTGATACTAGGCAGCCCGGCATCCTCACCCCATCTGACCTTCTGCCGTTACAGGGTGATTTCTTGGATTTCTCCGTAGTTGTATGGCTTGTTCATCCCAGGCTATTTTTCCTTTCTATTGCTCCTTGTTTCCGTCACAACTTTGATTTGATCACCAGAGGGATGAACAGAGCCTCTTTCATGTATGCCATTTTCCCCCCAGATAGATCTTTTTTAACAGTTCAAGCATAAGCAGTCCAAGTAGTAGTATAAATGATCTATTCTACATAAGAAATTATCCCAAAACTTAGTGGCTTAAAACAATAGACATTTATTGTCTCACATATTTTCTGTGGTCAGGAATTTAGAAGTGTGGCCTAACTACGTGATTCAGGGGCTTCGTGAGGTTGCAGTCATCTGAAGGCTTGACAGGAAGCTTGGTTGTTGGCAGGAGGTCTTAGTTCCTCATAATGTGAATCTGTTCTCACGACATGGCAGCTGGCTTCTGCCAAAGCAAGTGATCTAAGAGAAAATGAGGCAGAAGCCACAAAGCGTTTTATTACCTCATCTCAGAAGTTACACTCTGTTGGAGGTGTGAATATCAGGAGGTAAGAATTATTGCAGGCCATATTGCAGACTGGCTAACATAATCTGCTTTCTTGACCCTAATGATTTATATCTCTTCTACATGCAAAATACCCTTACCCTTACCAAAGGCCCTCAAAAGTTGCATCCCATCAGAGCATCAACTTTTTCTGGATTTCATCCAGAATTTCACTATTTTAGTCAAATTCAGATGCAAATGAGGCTTCTTGGGAGTAATTCCTTAAGTATTTTCATCAATGATAGTTCTGCTTTATCAAAACATCTTTGAATGAAAGACAAGTTATCTGTTCTCTACCGATCCAACATACCATGGTGGGACAGGCCTAGGATAACTGCTATAAACCTTTCTATTCAAAAACGGAGAAAACAGGAAGCACATAGAAGTTACTGGTCCATAGCAATTCTAAACTCAAGCAGGGCACACATTGATTCTGAAATTAAGCAGTTCCCCAACTTGGGAATACTTCTCTGTGGTTCTTGGTTCTGCCCCCTGAGTCATCCTTACTTTTTCATGAAAGGTAGCCTGTGTTTGTAGCTGAGTAGTTTTTTCAGTCTATTTCCTGTCTGTGCAAGTTTTGGAGTCTAAAGGCTTCTCTCTGTCCCTTTCTAATGTAGGTATTTGAGTTTGTGACACATGGTTTAGACAAAAAGATCATGCAGGGAAAAGCAAAATCTGTATTCAAGGAACTTCCAGGAGTTCAGTATGACAATGTACATGGAAAATTTATTGATCTTCTGGGATATAATGTAAGTCTAATAAAATTCCAAAGAACTGAAATCATATAGAATACACTCGGTAACCGCAATTGAATTATGCTAGTAACCAAAAACAAAAGAAAACTGGAGAATCCCAAAGTATTTGGAAATTTAACAGTATACTACAAAATAATTCATGAGTCAAAAAAATAAACTACAATAGAAGTTAGAAAATATTTGAATCAGATGATAATGAAAATACGATATGTCAAAACTTGTGGAAAGCAGCTAAAGCCAAGCTTAGGTGAAATTTGTAGCTTTAACTGTATATATTGGAAAGAAAAAATGGCTGAAAATCAATTATCTAAATATTTACCTCAAATAGTTAGGAAAAACATCCAGAAATCAAATCTAAATAAAGTAGAAGGAACAAAATAATAAAGTTAATAAAATGGAAAACAAGGATCAAAAGAACCAAAAGTTAATTCTCTGACAAGACTACTAAAATTGATTAACGTCTGGCAAGACTGATGAAAGCATAAAAGAGGAGACACAAGTATCACTTTAGAAATGAGTGCAGTCACTACAGATTCTGCATTCATCAAAAAGTTGAGAGGCTATTATGAATAATTATATCCCAACAAACTTGAAAATTCAGATTAAATGGGTGAATTCCTAAAAACAAACACACAAACAAAAAATCACAGCCTACTAAAATTGACACAAGAAGAAATAGGAAAACTGAGTAGTCCATTTCTATTAAAGAAATTAAAGTTTTCATTAAAAAAAAAAAAAATCTCCCCACAAAGAAAACTCCAGGTTCAGTTGCTTCCAGAGAACAGAAAAAGTGGTAATATTTCTCAACTTATTTTATGTGGTCAGCAACACTTAGATATAAAAACCTAACAAGGACATTACAAGGAAGGAAAATTACAGGCCAAAGAAAGATGCAAAAATTTTAAAAAAATAAAAATAATCAGTAAACCAAATCCAAAGTTCTATAAATAAGATACTACTATACAACCAATTGGTGTTTCTTCCAGGAATACAAGATTTGACATTTGACATTTGAAAATTAATCAATATAATTTACCACACTCACAGAGTAAAGTTCAGAAAAATCACAGGATCATCTCAAGAGATGTAGAAAAATCTTTTGATGAAAGTTACTACCCATTTATGATAAAATCCTTTTCAAACTAAGAAGAGAAGTTTTTCCCTTATCTGAAAAACTACATGAACAAAAACCCTATATCAAACATCATACTTACTGGTGAAATATAAAAATCTTTTCCCTTGAGAGGGGAATGAGAATAGGGTGCCCACGATCAGCACTTCTATTTAACATTGTGCTGGAGGTCCTCCCCAATGAAATAACAATAAAAAGTGTAGGATTAGAAAAAAGAAGTAAAACTGTCATTATTTGAGGGCAGGGGCTTGACCTGATTCCTCTGCCAGGGCCTGGTACTGCGTAGGTGTTTGGTAGCTAACTGCTGAGTGGACAGATGGAGCAATGAATGGACAAAGAGAATGTTAAGTACTAGGGCCCTAACGCAGGAACCTTTACTACATGAGCACTGACCATTACATGATCCACAGAAAAAAAATAAAACAACAGTGAAATTGCACACAATGAAAATTTTTGTGAATGGAAGAACCAGAGAAATATCCTTGGTAAAATGTAGATCAGCAAAGACCTGGCCTAGTCTCCATTTCTATTTTTCTCTAGGAGCTTTAGCAGAGAGGCCAGGATATTTGGCCCTCTGTTTGGCCCCTAAGGATGTTTTTGTCTTGTGTTTTTCAATACAGATTTTTAGATGAAATTATGTCATATTGATTACTTTTCACTGAGAAAATATTTCCTAGAACAAATGCCATTGGGTCAGTTCAATACCTTTGATTTTTCTACACAGCCTTTAAATCTATTTCCAATTTAATCCATTTTCATTTAAATTGAGCTATAATTATCTTCATCTGAAAAATAATTTTCTGTTTAAGTTTTATAATGATGATTTGTCAATTTAAAACATCCATATCACAGTTTAATAATTAAAGCTCTGCCATTGTCAGTTTTATGATCATTATTTCTATCTTCTATCAAGTTCACTTTTCCCGGAGAAATTTTACAGATTTACATTTTGTCTGGAAGATGTTTTATTTTTCCATCAGATTTTAGTCAATAAGTAATTTCATTGTGTGCAATTTAGCTGCTGTCGGTTTTATTTTTTCTGTTGATTATGTAGTAGGTATGAATCTTACTCCACAAACTTAGAGAAGTAAGAAATGACATATTACTTTATTAATTTAAATCAAATTAAAGCTAACTTAATTTCTGGTCATTATTTGGACTCCTTTTCTCTCAAAGGATCTGGGGTCTTATGTTTAGAAAAATATTTGGAAAGTCCCCTTTCATGCTTAGTGGATAGCAATTTACTTCTGTCTACCATATGCTATTCCTCCTTCACATCCAGAGAGCAGGTCACACACATTTCCAAGCCCCAAACCTTATAATGAATAAGTATCCAATTGAAGACATGGTGGAGAAATGATTTTCCCAATGTCATAGGTTCTAAGTGACTGAGCTGGGATATGAACCCAGATCTGTCTTCATCATGTCTATGCAGTTTGTGTGACACCATAGTTCTTCACCTAATTCAGAATATGAGCGATCTCAAGAGACAGGGCAAGAACTAAGAGTGCAGTAAGTGTTAAAAAGAGAAAAGGCACAGATTTGAAGACAATGGACATTAACACCAATTTTCCATAGCTGCTGTTAGAGATGACAAATTAAATAGAACTGATAAACGTTTCCCAAAATAGGCTCCTCTGAATCTGTTTGGAGGACTTGAAATATTTGCTGATGATTTGATTACTTGGGTTTCCAGCTAAATTGCTGTATTAATTTCCTAGGGCTGTCTTAACAACTTGCCACAAACTGGGTGGCTTCAAACAATAGAAATTTATTTTCTCACAGTTGTGGAGGCCAGAAGTCTGAAATCAAGGTATTGGCAAGGTGGTTCCTTCTACAGTTTCTGAGGGAGAATCCCTCCGTGCCTCTATCCTAGCTTCAGGAGGCTGCTGGCAATCCTTAGTGTTCCTTGGTTTGGGGTGCATGACTGATCTTTGCCTGTACCTTCACATGGCTTTCCCCTTGGTCTCTCTGTGTCTCAAATCTCCTCTCTCTTCCCTCATAAAAACAGCGCTCATTAGATGACTCTCATCCTGATATTCTTAAAGGCTGAGACCCTACTTCTAAGTAAGGTTACATTTACAGATATTGGCATTAGGATTTGGACATACGGGCATATGCCGGAGATTACAGTTCTAGACCACTACAATAAAGCAAGTCGTAACTTCTTGCTGGTGGAGGGTCTTGCCTTCAATTTGTAAAAAACCGAAACGTCTGTGAAGCACAATAAAGCGAAGTGCAATAAAATGAGGTATGCCTGTATTTTTTGGGGAGGCACAATTCAACTCACTATATTTGGTATGCCTTTTTTATTTTTAAGTTTATGCATTTGAGCAGCACAATTTATGTAAAGGATCCTCCCTAACGTAAACTTACCTCCCAGTTCTTTTCTGGCATTTGTTAGTAACAACTCTCGCTTTTGTCAGCTCTTCACAGCATGGAAAGTATCTGGTACCTTAATTAGCTCTCTTCTCTGCCCTGGGAGTTCTGCAAGGCCAGCCATTCTGTGGACAAGGAAAAAGGTGAAGGAGAGGAACGGACTTGACTGAGGATGCCCAATCCTGGCTGAGGTGGGATTTGAACTGAGGACGTCAAAACTCTTTCCTTATACTGCTGCTGCTGCATGGGAGCTTAGGTAGCTGTAATCAGTTCGTGCAGATTAATTTGTGATTTACTTTTGCTCTTAACTTTATTTAATGTACAATTTTCCCTTGTTTAAAATTTTTTCAGCTTTATTGGTTTTTTTCCTTATCATTTTGATTATTTATACAGTCTATATACTTGTCATGTTAATCGATTAATTAATTCGACCACCATTTTCTGAAGCCTTACCCTGTGAGAAGCTCTGGACTGAACTGAGCACTGGCCACAGAGAGGAACCAGATCACCTTGGTCCTTTTCCCTGAGGGTAGTAAATAGATAATAACTATGACAATGTTAGCAGGCTGTGGGAGATAAGTGGGCTCTTAACCTAAATGGGGGTCAGGAAAGGCTTCTTGATGCCTGACTTAGGTCTTAAATGATAGGCAGGATGCAATCTTATTCCTTTTATATTGGCTACTAGAATTAAATATTATGATGGGCATTTGATACCAATCTATTGAACGTTAGTAGTGTGTTATTAATTTTCTAGCATTCTGTCTAGCTGCCATAACACGTTTATATAACAGCTTTCATCACAAATGGTTCATTTGCCCAGTGTTTGGTCATTTACAAAACATTTTTACACTCTGTCTCATTTGCTGTCACAAAAACCTCTTCGAGAATGCTTTGTTTACATGCATATATTTTTCTTTTCATATCCTAGCTAAACTCAAAAATTAGATAACTTTGGAACTTAGGATCATTCAAATTGCACTAACAGAATTACACCAGGGTCTGGTTTCCGATCCTAACTTGGCCTTCCTCTCTCTGGGTCTCAATTTCCTTTACCATAAAATGGTCATGCGAAGGACATTTAGGCTGAAAGATTAAATGAGATAATGGATCTTAGACACCAGCACAGCACCTGGCTCATTAAAGATCAGTTCTCCTAACATGGTCTCTAAAGTCCATTTTCCTGCAATTCTAAAGCAATTCTTAAAGTAACACTCCAGCCCACAAATGTGCCAAGGCTCTTAAAGAGATGCTTTGAGAGAGAGCCAGCTCATTAACATAGGTGAGAAAAAAACCATCTCACAGTCATTAATCAGAGAGTAATAGGCAAAGGATAGTGTTCTGACACTGTCATTTTGACTCTGAGTTTGTTTTACTTGGGTTGCAGAAAAAAATTGGATGTGGTAGGAAATAATCAACATAAAATAAAACTGACAGTGGCTAAAATACACGTGGTAAAAATTTATCGTGGATGGAAAAGCAAACTGAATGATCCCTTCTTTGTTGGTAACCCTGAACATGGCAAAGTTGACCCCTGGGAAAATTCCCCTTGGTAGAAATAATCAACACAAAATAAAACTGACAATGGCTCAAATTGCTCCCAGGAAAAGATGAACTTGGTGGCAATAATGACTAGAAATTTCATAACGGCTGAAGCAATAATCATTAAAAATCAATAAGGATAACTGATGAATCAAATCTTTCTTGTAAAATTGATAGAGAAAAGCATATAGCTTGATGAAAATTCAATATAGAAAAAATCTAGAAAAGTTAGAAATTGTTTAACTGTGCTATATAGAAAATTTATCAAGGAACTAAATGGTTTTAGTGAAGTTAATTCCTTAAATACTTCAATAAATTCATTAATAATGGTATAATTCTGAGTAAAGAGTTTACATGCCAAGACATAGTAGGGATTTGGAGAAAGAATTCTCAAATTAGATGAAGGGTTTGGACTATAATTAGCATTTTACAATCTTCGAAAACACTTTCATATATGTTGTTTTATTGGATTTTCCTAATAATCTTTTCAGGTGACAGGGCAGGCATCATTTCTTCCATTTACAGATATAAACACTGAAGTCACCTAGCATGTCCATACAAAGTCTGATTCAGGATCTAATTTCCAGATTCCTAGTCCAGTAAGCTTCCTCATACCTATTCTCCTAACTCAGATAATTCTTTGTTGTTAGGACAGACCAGACCCTTTCTAATTTTGATTACCCAGCCCCCACTTTCTGGCAGTTGGAGAAAAAGGGAAAAGAAGGAGTGAAAGGTTTTAGAAGAGGGGATGGCCAATGAAACTCAGAGAGGGGAAGGGATATAGCCAACATGTCCTAAGAACTTTTCTTAACTATTCTCAGACTAAGAGAAGTAGTATATTTTTGGGGGGTGAGAGTGGGATTTTAAGGCTGGACAAATAGGACGAAAAAACGAGATATGCAGTTTGAGAAAAACAGTGCTTGATGTATTTGGAGAAAGTGAGTTCTAAGGGATAGGAGTGTAAGTAGACTTTGGTGGGGTAAGGCTGAAGGACTGGCTGCAGCAGGACTGTTAAGCAATAATCTTGGCAACCTGGGCTTTCTCCAGCAGGCCTGTAGTTCTCCAGTGGGCTAGCTAGTTCTCCAGTGGGCTAGCTAGCTTGAATGTTCTTGTGTTTCTTGCACAACACCGAGGAATAATGACATATGAAATCTAAAACACTGTCATTGAGTACAAGATTTATGCTAAATCAGAGATCATTTGATACCATATTCCATATTTTAGGAGAGCTGGACACAGAAGGGGAATTTTTTTTTTAGTGTAAAACTTATTCAGTCTATAGACAATACTTTAAGTAGAACTTTGTAGACCCTTCATAAAAATTATTTATTTACTTACTTATTTTTGTAGACCCTTATAATAACTGTTCCTCCCTGCCTACTTCCCCTCCCCAAAGTGATCTCTGGCCCACGGATTGGAAGCTACTGCTGTAAGAATTCAGATGTAAGGAAAATCAGTGTGCCTAAAATATGTTCTACGGAAGGTAGGACTTTGTCTCGAATTTCAAGAATGAATAGGAGATAAGGAGTGGAAATGGGTGTGGGAAGCCCAGAAGGAAACATTTGAGAAGACACCAATGAAAACAGAAAATTCTCCCTACTAAATTAACTTTTATGATATTTAAGTGACCGTTATTTAATAGTGGAACTGTTGAGCTCACAAGAAAAACCAGACAGGCCTACTCTTGGGTTATTACTGAGGGCAATAGGAAGCCAGGGAAAGCTTTTAGGCAGCAAAGAAAGGTTGTTGGAGTTGAAATTGTATTTTTGAAAATAGTCTTATAGTTTAAAAAATTATGTGCTTTTAAACAATTTAGGCAATGTGAAAATAAAAATTTTTTGAAATCTGATACCCTTTCCTCCAGATAATATTTTTAGACCCTTTTCCCTGAAATCTGTGATTATAGAATACTATCTCAAACTTCATGTAAGTTGGACAATTCTAAACATGCTGTTGTTATCAATATTTTTCCCTTGAGAATAAAATGTGAATAGCTTTTCATGTCAGTAAATAGATTTATATCTATTATTTTAAATGGCTACTTAGTACTGCATTGTTTGTATATATATTTTATTTAATCAGCCTCTATTGATGGACTTTTCTTCCTCTTATAATCAATAACCTCATATAACCTTGTGCATTCATCTTTTCCAAATTGATTATCTTTTTAAGGTAAACTCTTAAAAATAATGAAGCTGGGTCAAGTATTATGCCCATTTTACATTTGGATTCAAGTTGCCAAACCGTCCTCAGGTTTGCAGGGAGACAAGAAGGAATCTGAGACATTAGTTCTGGTGTGAGATGGTGGCAACGGGGATGGCGAAAAGAGTATAATCTCACAGGTGATCTAGCCTATCTAGGCCTCACCTCGGTGGGTTGGCATATTCGTTCCCTTTTTTCTTCTCCTTCACTTCTTTTTCGTAACATGGAGGCAGAACTGAGAACTGCATCTCCCAGCATTTCGCAGGGACCACGCTCCCTGGGAATTGTAGTTCCGGGTCTGAGAAAGGGCCGGAAGGAAGGCGGGAAGCTGTGGAGTATGCTGGGAAACGTAGTCCAGCGAACAGCGACGGCAGTGTGGGGGCACGAGGTTGGAGGTGCTGAGATCATTAACACCCAGGGAAGATGGGGCCAGGAGTGACCTAACTCCCTTCACATGTGGTCTTTGAAACTACAAAAGCTGCTCTCGGCGATTGGCTTCACGCCACTGTATGTGAGCCGGAGGGCCCGGTTCCTCCGCGTTGGGCGCGCGGCAGGCAGCGCAGGCCGCGCGCGGGCCGAAGCAGGGCACGCCGGGAGTTGTGGTCCTTGCACGCTAAGGCTGTGGGACGTGTCGCGGTGCTGCGCCGCTTCTTCCCCGCCCTTCTTATAGGTTCCCCCCCTTCCCTTTGCCTCCTCCTCTCTCGCCCGCAGCCGAGCGTCCCCTCCCCCCACCCGTCGGGCTTCTCGGCGGCTACTGCAGAGGATTCAGAGCCGAGTCGCTGAAGAGGAGGAGGCTCCTGGTTCCTGCGCGCCATCCGCCACCTTACTGGACACGGGCGAGGGAGCGAGAGCGTTGCTTCTTTAGCCTACAGAGAAGACAAGGGCATCGCCGCCTCAGCCACCGCCGCCGCGGTTTTCGTCTGCAGCGGCTCGCCGGTGAGCAGACTACCCCCCCTCCCGTCCGCTCCCCCTGAGCCTGGGCCGGTGGCATTGGGGAAGATGAGAGTGGGGGCTGCGGAGCGCGGGTTGGGGGAAGGGGGTTGAGGTCGCGATGGAACGGCGGGCTGGCTGGGGAGACTTGTCCAGGCGCGGGCTGGGGGGTGGGGTGAGGGTGGGACCCAAGCAGGTTGGGAGGGCGGCGACAGGGGAAGGGGACTTTTAATGGAGAATAACTGGACTTGGGACAAGAGCGTGGGTTCGGGGTGTCGGGAATTTGGGATGGTTTGGGGGCGAGCTAGATGATAAGATTGGAATGGGGTGGCTTTTAATGGAGGAGGGGACTGAATTAGGGTGGTGGATTTGGGGTTGGCTTGGAGCAGTTGACAGTTTGGGATTCGGGCCGGGGTAGGGGGATCATTTCAATAGAGAGTGTAATTGCAGGATTGGAAAGGACCGGGGGGAGGGGTGGCTGATAATTCAGGAGGGTGCAATTTGGGGTGGACCTAGGGCAGGCTAATAGAAGTGGTAGAAGCTGGGGGTGAGGGGCTTGGCATGGGTTGAGACCTGAGCTTGAAGAGTGGGCGTTTGCCATCTGGGGGTGGTGGAATTTGTGGAGACTTATGGAATAGCGTGGGTCGGGAGAGCAAAGGAGGTAGAATTTGGGGTTTTCCTGGGGAGTGCTTATGGAGGTTGGAATAGAAGCTGGTGGAGGTGGGACTTTCGTTAAGGAGAGTGTGATGGTGAGCTGGCTGGAGGGGGATAAATTAGAAATTAGGCCCAAAGTGAGTGGACGAAATTTGAGATTAGGCTGGGGTGGGGAGTGGGGTGGCACAGTGGGATAGGATTTTAGGATGATCTTAGAACCACTGGAAGGGGGCATAGGTGGCTCCCTGGGTGCAGGGTCGAGGCAGAGGGCACGACAGAAAACGCTGCTGAGCTGGATTCGCTGAAAGAATAGTGGCAGGTGGTGAGCGATGTTGGGGGATGGTGTCTTGAAGAAAATATCTCTTGGCGAAGGTGGCAGAGGGAGTTTTGGAGAAGTAATGTCTAAGATGAACTGGTAGGACTGGAGAGGTGGTTGCTGATGGTGAGGTATCAGAAGGGTCACCTAAGGAGTGGGAGACATGGAATTGTTGGTATGGATGAGGCCGAGAGGATGGAGAAGGGCAGCAAGCAGTGCTGGGAAGAGGTGGATTGGATGATTCTGGAGAGGAAGGATTTGGATGGCTTCCAAGAGACAGAAGAGGGTTAAGGGTTAGACTTAAATGGACAGCTTTGGAGGCCATGGTTGGAGGAGGGACCGTAATCATAGAAGACTTCGTAGGGGACAGAGAAGGTACGTTAAAGAATCTCCTAGAGGACATCTTAAGCCGTTAGTTTAATCTTTGTTTCATTTATATTATTATTTGGAAGTAAACATCCCAAAGGGTAAAGTTGTGAGGGGCTTCAGTTAGGTAGAATTGAGGAGGGGAGAGTGTCTTCGGTTATAGGCACACCTTGGAGATAGTGCGGGCTCCTGTCCAGACCACTGCAATAAGCGAGTATTGCAATAAAGTGAGTCATGATCTTATTGCTGGTGGAGGGTCTTGCCTTCAATTTGTAAAAACTGCAACATCTGTGAAGAGCAATAACATGAAGCTCAATAAAATGTGGTATGCCTGTGTTCATATAAAAAGAAAGTTGAGAGAAAAAAATCCCACTTCCAAACTAAAGGTGGAGAAGATAAAACTGGCATGTGACAGATAGCTTTCTATATGATGTCTCTGCCTTCTTTCTGCCCTCCCCCTGGTGCATTTAAAAATTAGTCCTGGAATTTAGAATTAAATATATTTGATGAGCTTGAGGTAGCTAAGGGAGCATTCCTTGCTTGAGAAGCGATGAATGAGACTGAAAAATATAAAGCTGAATTTATTTCCTAGTCAGGCAGGGTGGATGTCTGCAGAAAGAGCTTAGGCCTTTTTTTTCTCCTCTTCAAATTGATTGCTTGAAGACTCCATTTATTGGTGTCCTGGTTTGTAAGGCAATTAGGCCTATCATTGTATTGTAGGCTAATAATCCTGAGATGAATTTTGGCACCATCGCTTTATGTAAACAGAAGACAGGATATGTAGAAATGCCATAAATATTCATTGATGAGATGGTTTGGTATTGATGGAGTTTTTCATTTGATTCTCTTCTGACATTACTTGATAAGATTTAAAATAATTGGACTATATTTCTGTAGATTGCATTTTCTTCACAGGAATTCAGTTGGTCAGAATTCTGTCAGATGTGGATAAATAAAACATAGAATTATTTTTATTTTATTTTTTAGAGGATAGAATTAATGTGCACATATTAACTAAAGAAACACTATGTCCATATATTCATTATAAATTTTATTTAAAGCTAAATGATACTCTGTTCTCATGGCAGAATGGTGATGTGGGGAGGTATAAAAGAGGTGTGCATCGAGGAAACATCTTTAGGGAAACAATTTTCTGGACTTAATTGCAATAACTATGAAGTATTAAAATGAAGTAGTTGTTGATTAGAGCTCAGATGGAAAAAATAGGGAGGGATGTAAAAAGGATAAAATTGGCACCAATGGGATCAAAATAATTCTTTTTGTTTAAGCTTTGGAGTTCAGCTCACAAGCAAATCATTTTCTTTGGCTTTCACAGTAGAGCAAATAAAAATACTCAATATTTAGAATTTTTTTTTTTGTAGTTTCAAAATGGGCAAAATGATAGAAGTTTGGACTTGGAATTGAAAGTGTTTTTTTAATGAGGAAGCGTTCTGTATTACAATAAAAATCAGGTTTGAGCAATTACTTGTAATTAAATGAGAATTTAATCTAATTAATGCAAGCATTTTTTCTCAAAAGTTTACTCTGGGGTCCTGACATTGCTTTTGTAGATCCTCAGGCTTGATCTTGAGGTGCAAAATTTATATTAAAAGCAGATTTGGAAAGCTCAAAATGAAAAGTAATTGCCTGGGAGAGATGTCGTGGTGGATTTTTCCCCTCTCACAGCTGTGGTCACCTGTGCTGTAGAAATGTATGTAAAGTTTTAGCATCTATATCTCATTTGATTCTTCTGATATTCTGGTGAGAAGGGGAGAGCAGATGGAGGTATTGGTAGACAGGCATCTTGGTAGAATGAATAGCCTGTGAATTTAGGGGTTGAGAGTTCTAGGTTTAAATCCCCATACCAGCACTTGATAACTGAGTGATTTCAGGAAAGTCATTAAAAACCTTTCATACCTCGTGGTAATGGTTATACAACATTATGAATGTACATACTTCCACTGAATTATACTCTTAAATATGGTTAAAATGGTTTAAAAAGAAACACCTTTCATATTTCACAAAGCTGTCAAGGGGAACAAATCAGTTCATGTCTACAGATAACTTTATGTCCTGAAAACACTGCATATGTAAAATATTTGTTCAATATTTATTTACTTATTGCTTGCTAAGTGCCAGGGGAAATGAATATGAACAAAAAACAGTTGTCAATGAGCTCTCAGTGTCGTGAGAGAGACACAGAAGTGAGGCAAAAAGAGTATGGTGAAGAATCTGGGTTCTGAAGTCTATCCATTTACTACCTGTGTGACCTTGGGTACAATAGTCTCATCTGTAAAGTGGGTATAAGAATTAATCTCATAAAGTTATTCTGAGGATTAAACAATCGTGGAAAGCATTTAGCACAGTATATTACATAGTACACATTAAAAAGTATTAATTATTGCCATTATTATTAGTATTAGTTATTGCCATTATTATATAGGAAGAGACTAGAAAGTGAATAGCTTTGTGTCGTCTTACCATTGAGTTCTTAGTATTATTATTAAGGAGATGGTATTACTTTGTATTATCATCTCATAGTTTATCTGCATATTTGCATGTTTGTGCTGTGGTCTAGGAATTTTAAACTGTAAAGTACTAAACCTATATTAGTTGTTAGCTTCCTCATCTACAAAATAAGAAAAAACTGCTTTGAGAGGTTAAATGAGAGGTTAAGGTTTCAGTCAGTAGGTGGAAGAGACTGGTCATACCCCCAGATTCTGATTCCTCAACCCTGTTTATATCTTTTTTTTTAAATCGTAAAACAAGTCATGTATATATAAGTGCATATAACATAAATCTTCCACTTAAAAAATGATAAATTGTAGACCTGTGTTTTGCCACCAGCTTAATAAAAAGTATCTCTGGTACCTTTAAAGCCTCTTGTGATCCCTTGCCTGATTGAATCTCCCTCCCTCAGAAGTAAGCAGATTTCTGAATTTTGTGTGAACCATTCATTCCTTTGCTTTTCTTTATAGTTTTACCAAATAACTACATATCCTAAACAATATGTTTTTACCTTTGCAACTTTATATAAATGGAATTATAGTGTAAGTATTCTCATGTGACTTGCTTTATTCTTATTAGATATTCTTAATTTTTGACTTTAAAAGAGCTTTATTTCTTCCATTGTTAAAATAACATTCTCATGGTAGAAGTTGGAAATTACAAAAAAGTGAAAGGGAACAAAATTGTCTATAGTCCTATTACCCAGCAACACTTCTTATTTATATGTATGTATATATTATATGTATGTATATAAATATACATATAAATACATATTCTTCAGCATATATATGTATATACATACATATATGGAGTAGTCTAGATAACAAAAGGAAGCCAGTTTGCATTTATGGATGATCAGATTATCCAGATGGAAATCAATTATACTTGGAAGTAGGAATCGGAGGGAGTAGTAGCAGCATTTGTGAGCTGTGAAAGAACACCATCTTAGAGGTTTTTTTCTCTTTGGCAGGAGTTCTTTAGTTACTAGAGACTAATTTTTTGTTATAACAGCTTAGACCTTCATATCATGTTTTGGTAAGTCACTTAACTCTTTTGGTTGGAAGTTTTGTGCATCTTTCTTTTTGCAAGAAGATAGTCTGGTACATTGATCCTCACCTGATTGTGCTGGGGGGCCTGTTATATGATTTACAGAGAATACCAT